CTAAATAATAGCTATAATATTTAATATGTGAACAATTTTCTCTAAAAAGAATACGGGGAGTAATTCAATCGAGTATTACTATATAAATTTTCGAGGTATATGAGTTAAATTAATAGAGATAGTTAGGAAAATATAAATATTTCAACAAGATATATATTTTTGCCCTTGTTCTTGGAAAAAACATAAATTTGCAGTTTCTCTCCAACAACAAAAATATACTACTTATGTTATTGCTCAAAAATACTTTTAAATTCCAATTAAACACTTCAAATCTCTGGAAAAAAATGTTTTTGGCTAGAAAAAGATTGACTTTCTAAAAGCTTGATCAAACACGCGAAAATATTAATTTCAAGTCAAAGAACGCATGCATTGGATTAGTGAATGATCAATTAGTTTTCAATTATTGTAATGAGTTTAATCCCTATCTAATTCCTATGTACCAAAAAACTTTAACGTGGCCACTTATTGATCATACACACAGATCACAATAATTAACACGAAATTAGTTATTAACCAAGTAATAATCACTAGATAAGGATTAAATAGATGTTTAGACGTAAATAAAATAATCCATAATTATAGTACTCCATGTTAATTAGCAAACTAGGTAGATTTGAGAGTGATTATTATTTAAATATTGGATAGAATTATTTGACAAAATCCTTGAAAATGATTGAGTTGCTTTGAATTTGTTTTAAGTGACAAGATGAGATTAAAGATAAGGTGACAGAGATTTAAATGTGGGCTTCCACTACCACTTTAAATTAAAAAATAAAATAAAATGTATCACTGGGATAAAATCGTTGAACTCTGAATTTAAATTTTACGAATTTAATTTTATGATTTTTAACATTGAATTTGTTGTATATATAAAATTAAGGGTTTATATCTATTATTCATTATAATTTTAACAACTTTTAATACATAAATTTACGCATTGCGTCAAAATTTAAGAATTCAATTGAATCTGTACTATAATGTTTACTAAAAAAATAATACAGGAGATTTGTATATAACAATTAAAAAATATTATAAAAAAGAAAGACAAATTGTCGGTAGAATATTTCCAAAATTTGGTTCTTGAATATGAATTTTATTTCACACACAAAACAAAGAAAAGGCAAAGGTAATTGAAAGCTCAATGATGGTCCTTGTAGTTCTTTTGTTTTAACGTACTTAATAGAAGAAGTAATTGTTCATTTATTCGTATGTATCTAGTGTGATTCGTATCTATTATATATTTGGAATATCAGATACATAGGACAATGACGAGAGAGATGTGAGAGAGGCTAGAGAGATTTGTTATATATCCCAGCTATATGTAAATCCACTTGGATACAATGTATCTAGAACAAATTGCACATAATTTTAACTCCATATATCCCAAAATACATGTATCTGAACGTATCTAGACACATCAAAATCTGGTAAAATAATAATATTACAAATTAAAATTAATCTAAGTAATTACACCTAAACTGATGAAGTTTATGTAAATTTCCTTGATATAAAGATTTATAATTTAAAGTGCGCTCTCTGTTATATCTTATTCTAAATAACGATATACTATTTACTAGTGTTTAGTATTTAAGGCTTAATATATAGACCGTTCTTTGAATTTATATGTAAATTCATTGAGACACTTGAATTAAGATTTTTTTTTGAATTTAACAATTAAAAACATAATAACATATTTCTATTAGACACAATTCATGTACTGTATATGGTAGGATAATAATAACAAAGACTATGCTTCCAAAAATTGTCAGCCTATAATTAAAAGTTCCCCAAAAAGAATAGTGTTTAGTTTCACAAAAAAGGAAATGATTTTGTGGGAAAAAGACATTTTGAAAAAACTTATGATGGACATTGGGGCACGTAGTATCTATAGGGACACAACTTATTTGGTGAGACCAGATAAATTTACGTATTGATTAAAGTTTAGTTTTGTAACATTTACGTCTTGTGATTTTTCTCCATATTTTATCCGTTTAATTTGTCACCTTTCTATGTTTTTTACTCTCTCTCCCTCTCAACTCTTGGTCAAGTTTGAAATTTGTGTGTTTATGTGATAGTGATGCATACACAATACTCAAGTCAACTCAATTTACGTGATAATATTTTACTTTTCAAAATTTTATTCAACTAATTTACGTAATACTTTCGACTTCTCAGAATTTAATTCAATAAATCTTTAACATTAAAGATATTATATTAAGTAGTTTTTTTATGTTAACGATGAAAATATTAAGCACATTTTAATAAATTGATCAAAATTCATATAATTTTAATCATGACAAATAAAATATATCACATAAATTAAAACAGAGAAAAAAAGTCTGAATAAAATTTCATGTAGTACAAGATTCAAAATGAAAAATCAAAACAATAATACAAGAATCTTCTAAGCTTAAAGAATTTAATTAGTAGTTCATCAATTATTTAAAAAAAAATTAAAATGGACATCAAATTTGGTGGTTGTTGGGAATCGTTTTGTTGTTAGTTAAGTTTACATACAACAATATTTATCACTGGAGTGTTGAGATGAATTCATTGAGGCATTGTAAGGAAGGATGTGTAGGTACTCAATTGGTTGGTTTGAGGTTGGAGATGTGAAACCCTTAGGGGGTAATGAGATTTGGTAAGAAGGGCATGCGATACAAGTATCTCAAGTAATTCGACGATTCAGATACTACTCTACCCTTACTTTAGCCAGTCTTTCCTAGTTGATCACCCGGGGACGAGTGATTGGTAAATTAATATCTATTGTAACGACCTGATTTCCATCGCTATGGAAAAGCCAATGGAGAAAGAATTGGGGCCAAAAACTTTTTCGAAGTAACTTGGATTTTCCCAACCTAATCCAGATTTAGACGAAATCGGAGTCATTAAGTTGTAGGGAAATATGGTAACAATCGGGTGAATCATTTATGATTTTGATTACATGAGTAGTTAGATAACTCGTTAAGGAATCCGTACGACTTTATGGAATTGAATTCGGGCGAGTAGAGCTCCCGGAATCGATCTTAGCGTAAAGGGTATTTACTGAGCGTCATGGGTTAGAGGTGTGTTGTGAAATGAGAATTTTGAATTCTTGAAATAACTCTCTATCTCGAGAATGCTGCTTTGGCGCTGGGTTTTGCCGCTTTGGTGGGGCCGCTGTGACGGGTTCGACACGAATTAAAGTCGTTAATAAACCCCTAAACGACCTCATTATGCACTTTTTGACTTTTAGAGCTAAGGAACACCCTTAGGCGACTCCTACTCATTTTTCACCATTCTTGAGGCTAAAGGTAAGCTTTTCACTCCCCAAATTCATTTTTCGATCCGTAGAACGTAATAGAAT